GACAGTACTCCACCTCTCCCAAATCCTGTAACCAACCTCTTTACTGGCTGTAAGTTACCCCAAAAATAAACCTCCTTTTTAACTATGTGGAGTTGCCTTGATAAATCCCCCAATAAGTTCTCAGCATCCTCATGGGGCAGCTCACAACCTCCTGTAACTCCAGCTCTGAGGGACCAGACTCCTTCTTCTAGCAACTACACTCACACAGATACACACACATATAAATGCAAAGAAATGTTTTTTAAAATGAAAGAAACCTCAACCAGTTTACAGGGGCTGGATATTTGGGATTTGTAGTAGGAAACAATGTGGAAATTTTGAGGTTAAGATGTCATCATTAATGAATTCCTTTGTTTTAAAAACGTTTATTGGGTCAGACACTGTGTTAGGCATTAGGAACGCTAGAGAGATAAACAAAACTTTCAGACCCTACTAAATCTAGTCTAGTGAAAGAGGCAGGTAAATACACAAGACACTTTAATGCCAATTGGCAGATGCCATGGTGGAAAATGTCATTAAGGCAAGTGAGAAGATCCTTAACTCAACAAGGGTGTGATGTTTAAGCCGAGACCTAAACAACAAGTAGCAGTTGGGCAGTAGAGGAAGAGGAGGGGGAGAACATTCTGGAAAGTACTTAAGACGTAAGAAATCCTGAGTCATAAGGAGTACAAAAAGAAGCTCCAAGGGACTGCAGCGGGCAGTGTGAGAGGAAGATGCCCAGAGATGGTGGACACGAACAGAAGAAACTCAGCAGTGTGAGCTGAGCCAAGTCACATGTCCTCATGCCTCAGTTTCTCCCACAACCACATGGGCATAATAACATACAGTGCTGCATCTAGAACCAAGTGACGGGGGTACAAAAGTGCGATGCAAACTGTACTTTAAAGTCCTGCTGTGGAACGGCAATGGTGCTGGGCTGTGGCGGTATTTCACCTCTGAGTGTCAATTCAAGGATCCCTGCACAGGTGCCTTGGAACAGCTTCAGTGATGTCACATAGGTAAACAAGGCAGGAATGCTCGCACTGGGAAATTGGACACGTGCTCAAACCGAGCCTTTCGGCAAAGGTTAATTTACATATTGTTTTGAGTGTGTGTGAAAGGAATGAGAACAGGAGAGACCCTGGACACACTTGCCAAGAAATGCTTTCCCACAACAAAGAGCGACGCGGATCTGGTGTGACTTTTGAATGCTACAATTCTCTGTCATAGGAGACAGGCCCACCCAAAGTCAGCCCACAGGGACAAGCATGAGGGCCACTTCCTCATGCCAACCTGTTCCCTGTCATGGCAGAGGAGTGTCAGTGACACCCAGCCCACGGATAGGAGCTTGAAGCCTCTCAGGTCAACAGGTGCTGAGAACCACTTTCTTTGGCGCATGTAGCTAGCAAGAAATTGGATTTCAATGTTCTGAATCGGCGGAAAAAGATAGGTCCTTGTTGTCGCCTGCTCCCTTCACTGAAACTGCCATCTGTCAACTTCTGTCACTCAGCATGGTTGCCTGCTCAGGAGATCAGGGACTTAATGCCGAGAGGCATGGTGGGAAAGAAAATGTCCACCACAAGCAAGAATCCCCAAGGCAGATGCCTCTAGAAAACCTTGAACAGGTATATAATTCAAAAGTACGTTCAAAATGATGGCACCTTTTCAATGGGCAGTTGTTTTTTTTTTTTTTTAATGCAATATTTGTCTGTGGTTAGCATGTCTGTTTAGTCCCCACTTTCAAGGAAATAACTAGCTGCGTATGATGTGGTTTCATAGGGGAAAATGCTGTAAACAAAATGCCGGAATTTGAATGGTGCTCAAGAGGGTTGGCTTGTTTAAATGTTCACTTGACCACTCACTTGTTCAACAAATTAATGAGTGTTTAGTAGGCACCGGTAGAATGTCAGTTCCATAAAGGCAAAAGTTGGGTCCGTCTTACTATTGTGGGTACTCAAAAAAAAAAAATGTCTGCTGACTGCATGAGTGTACACATCACTGCCAGGTACAGAGAGGATGAGGTGAATAAGTTAGTGTTTGCTGAACAGAACTCGGTCTGATATGTGGACAAATGAGCCAGCAATTACAACTCAGGGAGACAAGATGAGTGCTGTACTATAAGATGTATAGGATGGCTCACACAAAACAAGAGGTACAATCTAGCAGGAAGAAAAAGAAGATGCAGAAGAGTATGTCTTAATAGGTCCTGTGGTGGTTCATCTGCAATGTCCACATACCCGGATTTAGAGTCCCCTAGGAGACCACACCTCATACACACATGCAAGTCTCAAAGACACGTAACTTTGTAACAACAGATGTTTCCAGTTGCACTGAAACATTGAAGAGAACGAGACCTCTCTTCAAAAGTCACTTTCCCACAGTGGTCTGCTCCAGGGTTGTGGGGGCTATGACTGTTTCTTTCTCTGCCACCATAGCCTGTCCTGGTGGTGGCACCCTCACTGGAAATTCCAAGAAGGACCAAAAACATACATAAAAAGAGAATAACAAACTGAACTGCCTTCTCCCCGTGACTCCAGTCCAACATGCATCATTGGGACAATTAGATTTCATCTCACCCATTACCTTTGTGGGGAGAGGATTTTAAAGATACTTCTAGAGTCTTTCACCTTTAAAAAGCTCTGTTATCTTTAGAGTTGGAGGAAATAGTTTTTTTAATCACTTTTTTTTTTTTTAATCAGAAGAAACTGGGTGCAGAGAATTTACTCCTTCATCCAAGGACATGGTGAGCGAGCTCTGGTTTCCACATAGAGCCCACCTCTAGCACTTCAGCCTGGATGGCCTCATTCTCAGAAATGCCCTGCTGTTGCCTGGGCTCTGCTGTCATTCACTGTTCCAGATGCCTCCACATGGAGGTGATGGGGAGCAGTAAGTTAGGGGATAAAGCCAGAGGAGAGCAGCCAGGACATTGTATTTTCTTAAGCTAGGGGAAAGGTGGTAGAGTAGGATGGCCACTTAGCTTCTTTTTCCTCACTCTGCATGATAAGTTTGGCTTGTTTCTCCAGCCACATGGAAAAAGACATATCTGAAGCATGCCACACTTGTTGGGAAAGCTTACTGTGGAAACAGAAATAATGGGAGAGAGCAGATCTGCTTCCTAGCCTGAGGAAAATGATGCTTTCCCAGTCTTTCAGGCTGCAGGGCACCTCCTACCTGTAGCTGGAGTTTTCTCCAGTCCCACCCAGGCCCACAGCCGCTCAGACCCAAGTAAACACACAGAGACTTATATTACTTATAAACTGTTTGGCCATGGCAGGCTCCTTGCTATCCGGTTCTTATATCTTACATTAACCCATTTCTATAATTCTGTACCTTGCCACGTGGCTTGTGACTTACTGGTATCTTTACATCTTACTTCTCATGGCAGTGGTGGTGGCTGGCAGCATCTCCTGACTCAGCCTTCCACTTCCCAGAATTCTCCTCTCTGCTTGTCCCACCTATACTATACTTCCTGCCTGGCTACTGGCCAATCAGCATTTTATTTATCAATCAATCAAAGCAACACACTCACAGCATACAGAAAGACATCCCCAACACCTACCTACCCAGGGGTGCCTTCTGCCCTCCTAAAGGAAGAGATGGTGAGGGGCACACGTGGTTGGTTTCTAAGGAGTTCAATGCTGTCTCTTTGACCATCATCAGGATTTGGCACATAGCCCACTTCGAAAACAATCCTAAGTTATTGGCTGAGAACCAGCTTGTCTTTGGAGCCTGAGACACGGCCATGGACATCTCTGGCATTATCCTCAATGGTAGACTAATGAAACCACTCCAAATCAAACTTGGGGAAATGTTTCATGAGAAAACAAAAAAAATACATGAATGGCAGACCTTAAAAGACAGGGACAGATTGAGCGGCCTGCTCTCTGCCCACATGACACAAACCCCTGCTTCCCCTTCATCTTCTGGCTACAGGCACTCGGGAAATTTGGGGGGGGGGGGGGGGCAGAGGGAAGAGGGCTGAGTATTTGGCTGGTGTCTTGGAATTGGGAGGAAGGATACCATGTCTCTACGTGGCAGGAAATGGTACATAAAGGAGACCTGTGATGTCCCTGTACTGAGGTGGAGGCTAGAACAAAGGGCCTCAGACAGAAAGACAGACAGACACACATGAATAGAGAGAGTGGAGGTTTAGATACAGCTGTAAGGACAATGCTAATCTTCCTTGCTACCTCCTTCCTATCTCAAGGACTCTCGGTCCCCTAATCTTTTCTTTGGTTGAATGTACTCTAACTTGCAATTTTTTGTTTATTCATATATATGTGTGTGTGTGTGTGTGTGTGTGTGTGTGTGTGTGTGTGTGTGTGTGTGTGTATATATTGGTTTTTCGAGACATGGTTTCTCTATGTAGCTTTGTGCCTTTCCTGGAACTCACTCTGTAGCCCAAGCTGGCCTCAAATTCACAGAGATTCGCCTGGCTCTGCCTCCCAGGTGCTGGTATTAAAGGTGTGCGCCACCACCACCTAGCATACATTTGTTTTTTGTTTGACCAAGTGGACTATAAGATCAATCAAAGGTTTTGTACAATGCCTGGCATGATGGATTCTCCCATTATACTTGTTGAAAGAAAAACAAACTTATGACAAATAGAGCTGAGAAAGACAAGCCAGGGGGCATTAACATCAGGTTGTTTCCTCCTTTCCTGTCCTTTGGGCAAGAACTTTTAAGCATCCTGATTTATGTGGTATTTATTATTGCCACACATTCCACTAAAGAATCTGCATGGTTTGTCTTGTTAGTCCTCTCTACATAGCCATGAGGAAGTGTGTCCAAGGGCCCCAGGACACCTTCAGATCAACAAGTCACTGGGAGTTGGTGAAGCTGGTCTATTCCAGATAAAGGATACAGAATAAAATAAGCAGTGGAAAGGGGCACATGAGGCAGAGTCCAAGAAGGGTGCCATATAGTGCTTCCACAGGCCCGCCCCCCACAAAGGCAGAGAGGCATGCCTGTTTCCCCTTCAGTGAGTGACTCAAGACAATCTGCCCTATAGGGATGCTCACCTGAAACCTGGTGTCCTGGAATCTCACTGGAGGCCATGTAAGGGCAACTGGCCGCCTATGAGGTTTACCATAGTCTCCAGCTCCTCCAGAGATCAAGTCTCTTCTGCTTGTCCTCACTCCAGCATTAATGACGTTGCTACCTTGGACTGTTCAGCAGGTGTGTCAAACCTACGGCATGCAAACCACACAAAATTCATTTAAAACACTGTGAGACCTGTGTGTGGTGTGTGTGTGCACATATGAGTGTGTGTGTACACGAGTGTGTGTGTGTGTGTGTGTGTGTGTGAGAGAGAGAGAGAGAGAGAGAGAGAGAGAGAGAGAGAGAGAGAGAGAGAGAGAGAGAGATTTTCTGTTTTGTAACTCAATTGTATGGTCCTTGAGTATGAACTTTGTAGATGACATCGTCGTGTTATTATGTAAAAGGTTGGGCACACCTGATTCTAATGTGGCCTGAGGCCTCCGAATCTCTCTGAGCAAGCACCATAGTCTAATAATATCTTAGACATTACCTCCCAGAGCAAAAAGTCAGACCTTTTTTTTTTTCTTTTTTTTTTCAAAACAAGGTTTATCTGTATAGCTGTCCTGGAACTCACTCTTAAGACCAGGCTGGCCTCGAACTCAGAGATCTGCCTGCCTTGGCCTCCTGAATGCTGGGATTAAAGGCGTGCACCACCACCACCTGCCTTAGACCTTTTATTAGATTGTGCAAGGTTTGGATAACCCAGCTTGCTGGAGTGTGGTGAACATAGGGAAGTAGAAGCATTGACCCTAATTTTTTAATGCTGTGCTCTAGGAATCAGGGAAGCCTTGATTTGGCCAAAGTCACAAAAGCTGAAATACAAACCAGTATCTTACTTGACTGAAACATATATGTTCTTCTACCATATAACCTGGCTGTATCATACTTATGTACCCAAAGAACTCTTTGCCCAACCACAGAAATACTTGCAAATCCATACTTCTTGATTTTTTTAATCCACAAAATAATCCAAGAAATGAAACCAGCCCAGATGTCCATCAACAGATGAATGAATAAAGAAAATAGAGCACATATACAATGCATTCTTATTCAATCCTAAATAAAATCAAAATAAAGGCATTTGCAGAAAAAATGGATTGAACTATAAACCATAGTGCTAAGTGAAGGTAGTCAGACAAAGAAAGATAAACACCACATGTATTCTTTCATATGAAAGGCCTGTATTTTAATTTTTTATATTTGTATATATGGGAGATAAATCATAAAATGAAAAAGGGGACCTTGAGAAGAGAAAATGCGGTCTTAATGATTAGGGGGCAAACAGATGCATGTGACATGAACGTAGACTGTAGCCTACCAGAAAGAGGGAGCAGTTGGTGAGTTCTCTCGTTTGTTCGCTCTCTCTCACCATGTGATGCCTGCTGCATGTCCTTATCCAGATGCCAAGCAGAGACCAACACTGCACTTCTGAAGTTCAAGAACCACAAGCTAAATAATTTGCTTTCTTTATAATTTTTTATAATTGCTTTATAAATTACTTCATTACTTCCACTGATAGCAATGGAAACCAGACTAGCCGCTGTTTCACTTAATCTCTGGTTCAGATGCTGCCTGTGGCTTCTCTCAGGGACGCGTATCTACCAGTTAAGAAATAGCACCACAGTTTGTGTGTAATATCTGATCCGGACATCAGAGGGCTACAAGAATAAGGTTCATGATCCAAAAGTAAGAATTAGTCTTCCTCCATTTAAACATCAATTCTCAAGAAAGATACTAGTTGGCCCCAAATGGTGCTTATGCCTGCCCCCTACCGTCCATTTTGGGGAGCAGCAGCATCTGTTCTCTGACTGGCTGGCAAGGGCCCCATGACCCAATGTGAGGTGTGACTAGACCAAATGTCATTATGTGTCTGCCCGAAGATGAAGACAAGCAGAAGGTTCCTCAGCAAGGGATTGCTTCACACACACACAGACAGCCCAATTGTGTTACTGTTACCTCTGCATACCACTGTTTATTTCTGAGCTCTGTCCATTGTCCAGCCACCCAAATCATGGCCGCGGAGCTTCAAGCCAACTGAAAAAGAGAAACAAACTGACAGGTCTCAGGAACAATCCTGCAGCTTTTGTTTGTTTGTTTGTTTGTTTGTTTGTTTGTTTGTTTTTGAATCTCAAAGAAAGGAACGCTTTTTAGGCACAGATGAGCTTCCATTACAAGATGGGTTATCTGCTCTTCCGTCAAACACCATGGCAAAGTTGGATAATGACCTTCGAGTCTTCCACTCTATTCCCCACCCCATCCCACACCCCTGCACCTGCAGAGACAAAAAAAAAAAAATTATGAGCGATAAAAGCTGGTGCCAAGCTCACAACGGGTAATAGCTGATGCAGAACTTAGAGTCATTTTCCCTGGAGGGAACAGTGGAGGGCCAGATAGAATCAACCATCTGAGACTCTTCAGGTGCTTAGCTTTTACGTGAGGGCTCTGGAGTTCAATAATTCATGCTAATGCAGCCAACATCAAGGCAATTGCCTTCACACTGCATTCAGATTTTGATTACTAAACAGTCCCGGTGACTTTTATAATGGGAAAACCCTCTGGTGACTCTAGCTGGAATGGGAAGAGTGTGGCCGAATCACCAGGGCTTTGGGGTCAGAGGAGCCCATCTTTCTTGGACCCGGTGTACACTGGCTGGGTGGGGATCTTGTCTGGTGACATTTACCATCTCAGAAATTCCTAATCATTATTGGGGTGATACCACTTACTTCACAGGGTTGTGGGGCCACAGGACTGAGATTAACAGATGAAAAATTCAGTCCCATGACGTAAGAAAAACTTCAGTGGCCTGAAAGAACCCTGAAGAGTGTCCATTTCCTCCTCCCTCCAGAGTCGGTCTCTGTCTCCCCCACCCCTCTCCCTCGCCATCCCCTCCTGCCTCCCTCCACCCTGGCTGCACATGGAAGACAGGGTTTTCTGTCACTATAATGGGAGTCCCAAGAATAAGCAGGGGACATATTATCCAGAAGGAAGGACGAAGATGGAAAGCCTCTTGCTGAATATAGACTCTGTAATTCATGTCCACAGTGCTTACTCGTGTTGAGGAGGAATGGAGAAAAGAAGTGAGGAAGAGGGAGACAATTAGCACCAACGCGGACTTCCAAAGTCGAGGCAGCTTCAAAGGAATTTAGGCGCTTTAATATAACTTTGCTTTAATACACCCCCTCGGTCCTCATTAAAATGCGTATGCCACTTGCGCTAGAAATATCTTCCCGGAAGGAAAAGAAGAAAGTGGGTTAGTAATTTACAAGCTTATATCAAATCTCCATTGCCCCTATTTGATTTAGGAAAAGATGTAGCTCAGATGAGTAGCATCAAACCTAGATGGTAGGAAAGGTTCATAAAAATTAAAATGCAGACACAAAAAAAAAAATTCTACTCCAAGAAAGACTAAGCAAATAAATCAGGGCTTGGGTCTGGGATATGTGTTTTCAACATCTTCCAGACTTCTGGTACCTGTAAATAACAAGTTTTATTTTGAGAAACATGAGCTTAATGATTAAGACTGTGGGCTTAAAGAGACTCTTATGTTCAAAACCTGAATCCACTGCACCTCACTTTGTGAATTTGGGCAAGTTTTAACTTTTCCAATTTCAAGTTTTCTAAGTTTTGAAATTTGAATTTATTTATATATTTTTTTTCAATGGTTGCTGTGAGAATTAAATAAAATACATTATGGAGTAAGGGTATCTGGTACGTACGAAAAATAATACTATTATATTTATTACCATTATTGTGTAAAGGACCTGGATTTTTTTTGTTTTTTTTATCATTTCATTCTTTTCCTTTCATAAATCCAGAAGAATAATGCTTTAAGATAAAAGTTTATGTAGTTTTCAAATAAAAGTCTAAAAGTGAAGTAGTCATTGCAATATAGCAGAGCCTCTTTCCCCTTTTAGAAGTGGCCTTCATCCTCATGATTCAAGATGGCTGTCAGAGCTCCTGCTGCATCCCACACAGCAGGATGGAGCCAGGGAAGGGAAGACACTCTCCAGCTGCCAGGAAGACTGAAAAGTGTAACCAACCAGTATTCCACGTAGTCGTTTGCCCAGAAAACTGTGGCTTGTGTTTTGATGGAAAGTTGGAGGAAAGGAATTTGGAAGGACAGGTATTGATCCCTAGTATCTCCAAACCTGTGAGAATGCCTCACAGATTCTTTTTTTTTTTTTTCCTGGGTATCCTCTGCTCCCAGCCTCCTGCATGCTGGTTTCTGAAATGGCATCTTCCTCAAGGCAGGTCGTAATTACTTTTCCTAATCAATTTGGCTAATTTTCTTTCCAGATGCCTTCCATAGCTACACACACACCTCACCAGTAAGCTTTACTCCATTCTTTTTCCCCAATTTCAACTAACTTTAATAGGCAACATAACCACTTCGTTATAAGAGTTTAAAACCAGAACTAAACACTTAGGAGAAAATTCAATACCCAAAAACATTGGCCCTTGGAAATAATCTCAGTGTCCTGAGGAGCAGATATCTAACATTTCCCCAAGCAGATAAGTTGATATGTGATGAAAACCTAGTCTGCACAACTGTCTTTGACTATTATTACACTGAACAATATATTGAAAGTGATGCTTCACGCTAAAGGTTATAGATCAATATTATCTCCTTTAATGACGACAAGGCCCTCACCAAGTGAATGTGTTGTAATACCTTATTTAACCACTTCCACGTCTTGCTCACTTGCCCTCCAGTTTCCTTCCCCACGGTGAGCTGTGCCCTTGTACTTCTCTCAGCCCCAGGCTCTCCTTAAAATATCCACAGCTCAGTTACCCCATCGCCAAAGGGATTCGAGCTCTCCTCTCTACAATCTACTTGGAATTCCATTTTCAAATGAGCGTCCTAGAGCCAGAAAATTCAGGAAGACCTGAATTAAAGCCATCCTACTCACCTAGGAACAGCAAAATATCCCAGTGCAAGGGAGCCATTTCATCCCACTGCCCAGAAAAGCACACACAAATATCTCAGGTGAGAGAAAGGCTTTTTGATGGAACCCAAGTTGTTAGAACTTTCAGTGTGCCAAGCCAACCTCAAATAAGACCACACTGAGGTCATTCCTATGTGGAGAAAACAGTCTCAATTAGGAAAGAGAGAGAGAGAGAGAGAGAGAGGGAGAACGAGAGGGAGAGGGAGAGAGAGAGAGAGAGAACATTTGACTGAATAAATTATTTAGGCAGATGACTGATCTGACAAATGATGATTCACAAGCTGATTTATTTTTTTTTTCAAAAGCTATGATTGATTCCTGAGTAATTGTTTCCTTGTCTCAGTTGAGTTTCCTAATGATCCAAATGTTCATGAGGTCTACAGTTTCTGAAGAAGGCTGGAGACAAATTATGCTTCTCACAAACCACTTCCTATTTGCAGGTGGTTTCCACTTCCATTTTCTTCCCATCAGTGCTGAGGAGCACGCAGAACTGGTGTCATCAGCTCCCCATTATACATGATGCTAATAAAGGAAGACACTCACTGAGCACATCTTATATTCTAGGCAAGATGGTAAATGCATTATGGATAGTCTTTATTGCTCACAAAAGTCCTAATGAGTTAGACATTCTACTAACACCCTGTTTTATACATGAACATAGTTCAAAAAATATTAAACAACCCTAATCACACAAGGAGAGAGAGGTACAACCAGAATGCAAAATCAGTATGGACTCAGAAAGAATCACTGACTCATTGTACTGGCTGGTTTTATGTCAACTTGATACAAGTTAAAGTCATCTGATAGGAGGGAACCTCAATTGAGAAAATGCTTCCATAAGATTAGGGATATAGGCAAGCCTGTAGGACATTTTCTTAATTAGCGACTGATATGGGAGGGCTCAGCCCATTGTGGATAGTGCCACCCTGGGCTGGTAGTTCCTGGGTTCTATAAGAAAGCAGGCTGACCGAGCAGTGGTGACACACACCTTTAATCCCAGCACTTGGGAGGCAGAGGAAGGTGGATCTCTGTGAGTTCGAGGCCAGCCTGGGCTACAGAGTGAGTTCCAGGACAGGCTACAAAGCTACACAGAGAAACCCTGTCTCAAACCCCACCCCACCCCCCAAAAAAGGCTGAACAATCATGGAGAGCAAGCCAGTAAGCAGCACTCCTACACAGCCTCTGCATCAGCTCCTGCTCCAGGTTCCCATCCTGACTTCCTTGGATGATGAACAGTGATATGGAAGTGTAATCCAAAGGGTTTATACCCTTTGCTCCCCAAGTTGCATTTGGTCGTGGTGTTTCATTACAGCAATAGTAACCCTGACTAGGACACTCGGTCAGACTCACAAAGCTGTGAGTCAAGTCTAAACCCTATTCCTGCTATCAGGATGAAGAACAAAAGCTCTAGACTCAGGTAGCCTGCGTTCAGAGCTGATGTTTGCTGATATTTACTGTCCCCCAAGTGTGTCACCTTAGGGAGGTGACCAAACCACGGTGTCTCAGTCAGCTTCTTCAGTAAACGAGATGGTGGACTTCGGTCTCAAAAGGTTACTATGTTGTTTCCATTTCCTAGATATGGTGAATAGAGCAGCAATGTCCCACACCTGAGACTTGGGGAACATTGTGGAAAGGGGGCAGAGAATGTAAGAGCCAGGGAATCAGGGAGTTTACTGTGAGATTGTGTCTCCTACTCAAATCAGAAGCTGTTCCCATGAGGTCTCACCAACATGCTACCCAAATAAAAGATGAACAAGGATGATGCCACTGGTTTTTCCAGATAACTTTGGAGTGGGATAAAAGATATATGTATATAAACATTGATTTAAAATTCTTTCTGGTATACAGATAGATACATAGATAGATAGATAGATAGATAGATAGATAGATAGATAGATAGATAGATAGATAGATAGAGATAGATAGAGATTAGATAGATAGAGATAGATGATAGAGATAGATTGATAGATAGATAGATAGATAGATAGATAGATAGATAGATAGATAGATAGATAGATAGATAGATAGATTCAATAAAGTGCATAGGTCTTAGAAATAAGTGGGGCCAATCAAATATAGCCACAGATGAAACTTTAAACCACGATGTTGCTAAGGTATGCTAAGATGGATGGGGAAAAGCCCATGAAGCCTCAACCCTACACAAAGAACTATTGGCAACCAGAGAACGCTGGGAGCAGGAGAGGTGGTCCTCCCCAGGGAAGAACACACCAGTTGGTTGTTTCATGCCCCACAGTCAGCACTGAAAACATGCATGCAAGTAACATCATCTGGACTGACCTGGTTGTACTGGGGAATACAGATGTGCATGCAAAAACAACTGCTGAAGGAAGAGGCCATGAATTTGAGGAGAGTGGAGAGATTCGGAGGGGGGAAGAGAGGGGAGAAATGTGGTCATTGTATTATAATCTCAAAAATAAAAAGATCTTTGTCCAAAAAAAAAAAAAAGAGGGGCTTACTATGATGGTTGCTGTTCATTGAAAATTTGACAGGCTCTAGAATCATCTAAGAGGTGGACAGCAGGTGCTGAGCGTACCTATGAGGGTTATTTTGATTACGCTAACCGATGTGAGGAGACCCATCTTAACTGTGAGCAGGACCATGACTTGGGCAGGAGATGATCCTGGACTGTGTGAAATGGAGAAGGAGAGCTGAGCACTTGGAAGCGGTCATTGCTGTTTCTTGACCAAAGCTGTGATGTGAACAGCTGCTTCCAGCTTCTGCTGCCATACCTTCCCCATCGTGGTGGGTACCGTGAACTGTGAGCCAAATGAGCTCTTTCTCCTTAAAATTATTTTTGTCAGAGTACCTCATCACAGGACAGGAAAAGAAAATAAGGCAGCTACCTACACCAAATGAGCTGGATGGTCTACACACAGCGATCACTAGCAGCTGGTGTGAGACCTTCCAGCCCTCCAGCCCTCCACTCACTTGCTGTTTTCTGGTCCGTGCCATTTGCAGGTGCCTCGAGCCAAGGCCTTGTGCAACTACAGAGGGAAGAATCCTGGTGACCTGAAGTTTAATAAAGGAGATGTCATCCTCCTCCGGAGACAACTTGATGAGAACTGGTACCAGGGGGAGATCAATGGGGTCAGTGGGATCTTCCCGGCCAGCTCCGTGGAAGTCATCAAGCAGCTGCCCCAGCCGCCACCACTCTGCAGGGCCCTCTACAATTTTGACCTTCGAGACAAGGATAAGAGTGAGAACCAGGACTGCCTGACCTTCCTCAAGGTAAACGCAGACCACAGACAGACGGTGGGAGAAGCCACAGTCCATTGTTTAAGACTTGCTGATTTTTTTAAAGAGTATGCATGTTACACATGAATGCACTTGTGCATGCGTCTGCGTGTGTGTGTGTGTGTGCATGCACATATAGAAGCAATGTGTGTGTATGATTTCAACTACATGGACTGTGTATCAGTCAATGTCTTATTGCTGTGAAGTGACATGTGGTAACACTTATAGAAGAAAGTATTTAATTGGGGCTTCAACTGTATTTTCAGGGGTTTGTTGTACCATAGGTGTTCAAATCCCCTCATAGAAACCTAAGTTGGGGTTACCTTAGTAGTTGCTGCTGTCACAGGTCAACATGTAAGTACATGAAGTGGTACTGTTATAATTCCTCAACAAAAATCCACAAGCCCATTTATTTAGCAATTTCTTTTAAATATATTTGAATTTACTTTCATTTTATGCATGGGAGTATTTTGCCCACATGCATGTATGTGTACCATGTGTGCACCTGGTACCCGTGGAAACGGGAAGAGGGCATTGGATCTCTGTAACTGGAGTGACAGATAGTTGTGAGCCACTGTGTGGGTGCTGGGAATCGAACCCAGGTCCTGTGCAAGAGCAAGTGCTCTTAACTACTGACTCATCACTCCCTCCCCGCATCTGACAGTTCAGCCACTGGGAACAAAGTGGTGGAGCAATGTCCCTCCTTCCGTTGAACTGGGAGTCTAACGGAAAACATACACATCAGTGGGAAAGTGTGACAAAGAGCCCAGGGCAGGGGACTTTGTCCATTCTATCACTGTGGAACACTGACGCTTCATTAGAAAAATCTAGGGTAGTCCTAAACCCAGCATGTCCAAATTCAACCAAAGATCT